GTGGTTTGTTATTGTTATTGGTTTGTTATTGTTTTTGGTTTGGGGTGAGGGAAAGAGAGGGGATCTCTCAGTGCTTCCTACACACACCTTTGTAAGAGGTTTGGTGTTACAGGTGCAGAAGAATTGGAATAAACCACTTAGTAATTTCTGGGATGAACACAACTCCAGGTAGCAGATAATTTGTTTATATTAATTATTTCTGTAACAAATAGAAGCGGTGTAGAGATCTTGGCCCTGCAATTGCGTATTGAATAGAGTTGAGACAGTGCTGATCCTCCTGCCTTTTATGGTTGTTTGCCTTACAACATTTTATGTTTCCTTCAGTGGCACTCCTGTGAGGGGTGGGGAAGGAAAAATGAGGAAAAATCTTAGGAGACTGAAATCCAAGAGAGGTCAGAATGAAAGTGTTTGTCCCATTCTGCAGTTACCATTGTGTTGTCTCGTGGTTCGTGTTTTGAGGCTCCTCATTGCTGACATTACATTTTAATTTTACTTTGTTTTTGACGTTTCTCTGATGGCATTCCCTACTGGGCTGTTTTGCTTTGGGATTTTGTTTGTGTTTTGTTTGTTTGTTTTGGGCAAGAGGGATAATGTGTTGTGGTGTATATGTGTTGCCTTAACTTCTCTTTCCACAGCTGGCTCCTCCTCCTCAGCAAACTGAGTAACTAATTCCTCTCAGAGGGTGTAATTTTCCTAATTACTGTTATTTGCACCTGTTTTGTAGCTAACTTTTGGTCATTGCATCTGTGAATACGTAGTCTTTAGACCCTCGTGCGCTTGGTAAATCTCACAGATGTGTAAATAAAATAGTTAATATTAGTAACTGAAGGAGAAAGTAGCAGTACGTGGTGAATGACTTTGTATTATGTTTATTTTACTGAAAATACAGTCTGTGCTCCCAAGGGGTGTTAGAAGACAAGCCTTATACCCATCCAGAAAATCTTAAGAGCAGCCAGCCATAGGTAACAATAACAAAGTTTTTACCTTTTTCTGCAGAGCCAATTATTGGGAGCAGAACCACTGATGCTCTGTTGTTGTCACAGGGTGTTTGTTTAAGAAAATGGCTTGTAATTAATATTTTGCTCTGAAAACAGGCAGGTGTCTCTGCTTAGATGTTGTTCAAGCTCTGTTTTTTTCCTTCTGCACTGCTGAGTTGGCTCTCCATTGCCGTGCTTAGAGCACTGTAGGAATTCCCACTTTTGGTGCCTCTCAAAGCACGATGTGTGTTTTCTTTCCTGATGCCCTTTTCCCTCAGCCCACCAGTTACTGTGAGTCCAGCTTAGCAGCTCCCATCTCTTTCCCTCATCTGACAGATGTTTTCTACTCATTTTCTCTCATACATTTGTTAAATCTCCCCTAACTTTTGTTAACTTCTCTGCTCTGCCCATTGAAGTGTTTGGGCTGCTCTTGATTTTTTGGCTACAGTCTGTCACACCAAGCAGCAGTAGTCAGCAGTATTCCCTCTGGTTTCTGACTATATAATTGTTTCTGGGAAAGCAGTGATTTTGGGATAGTGAATAAGCTTTGTGAAACAAGGACAGCGCACCCAAGCTCAAGACTATGGTCTTAAGCACTTCTATAATACAAAAATAGTTTTGGGGTTCTGAGAAATAGCATACAACTTACAATATGTGTAGTGCTCTTCTCACACAGTATTAGTTATTGTTTGCCATGTAAATACTGATCCATTAAAAAAAATCAGCCTTATATAAGAAGAAGAAAGTAACTGTAAGGAGGCAGTGACGATTTTGCCACTTGAAAAGCAGAAGGCAAAACCATATTATAAACTCATTATGAACTTGCATAAAGTTTCTTCAGAGGAAACAGTATTCATGGACAAAAAGAAATTTTGGTAAATAACATTCACCAAAGAAGAAGTTTTGGTCTTTGAGAAGAAATTTTGGTTTTTGCTGAATAACAGTGAAATTTTTGTAAGTCACAGCAACAAGTCACACATGTGACTTTTTGTAAGTCACATCTGAGATAAATCAGATCATCTATTTTGGCACTGCTTCTTCATGTTGCTCTCAAGGATTACAAGATTAAATCTCTTTGCATTGGTTTGTAACACGTTGCTGACCTTTTCACCTAAATTTGTGGGATACTTCAAGCTGTGTAGTTTTACTGGCTTCAACATGTGCAATTTATTAAATAAAGATTCTGCTGCTTCTCACTGTTACTTCAGTGCCTAAAGAGTAAAGGGACTTAGCCATAAATGTTGTGGCACAAAAGGAGGCCAGATATTGTTGGGGTTTGTAGAGAAAGGGGTAAGGGAGCATTTCAGACCTGTCTTTGTTTGCTGTGCAGTGTCTGGTCATAACCTCAGACAGGTGTAACCATGTGCCCTTCTGCTTTCCTAGTGCTGCACACTGAGCCTTGAGGAACAGAGTTTTGGCTAGAAATACCTTAGCTGATGGCTAGGCATTTAACTGAAGGTGTGTATAATTTGTTGCTACTTCAGGAAGAGAAGTAAAATAATGAAATATTTAAAATACCAACCAGAACAAAGCAGTAGCAATTGCTTGAAGTGAGTGAGTACTACCTTAAAACTAAAGTATACCAATTATGGCCAAGCACCATACAATATCCATTCAATTTCTGTATCTTTCACTTATTTTAATAATATTGCTTTCCTATATGGTGATGTTCTGACTGAATGTTTTAAGATCACTTTTCACTACATTCTAATGTAGGAAAAGACTTGAGTCTAAAATGAGGATTGTTTGCCAGCATTTAAGAGAATATTGTTAGAGCTTAAGTTGTATTTTCTTTGAAACGAGTTTGCTTATTACTTTTCAGTTAGAGACAGTATTGTTCAGTAAATTGTTCAGTAAAAGCATTCTGGTCCTGTTCCCAGCCTGCCCTGTGTGGGAATAGAGGAGCCCCATCTCCCCTGCCCCACCTTGTGCTTTTCTTTGGCACAGTGCTTCTCTAACATTTTGGAAGGCACAAATGACACTGTGCTGTAAGACTCCAAACAACATAGTTAAAGGTAATGCGCATTGTTGAATTTACATGTTTGCCTAAGAACTCGCTGTTCTGACCTGAGATGGGGGCATTGTTTGGGGATTATTTTTTTTTCCCTTCCTTACTCAGAGAGCACAAAACCTGAGCGTGCAAAGCTCATGAAACAAGATTCAGAGAGGCATCTGGTATTAGATCAGTTATGGAGAGATAATAACCTGCTGGTTATTGGTGCAAGGCATGCCTCAGTGGTTTAACATGCCTCATTGGCCTGAGCAGTGGGCAGTGGTTCCAGGCACACAGAATGACAAGATCTTTTGCAGTAAGTGTGCTTATATGGTTTTCTTTTAAGGAGTCCATTAACCAAATTTCAGTTTCTAAAAGAAACAGTCTTTAGGTATGATAAGCAATTCAGCTTGTAATCAAGAAACAGGAACAAGAGTCACTGCTAGACTTTGAAGTGCTTTCTTCCCTCCTTTCTGCCACTCCAAATTCTCCTTTTATTTTCTTTTCTGTTTGAGTGCTACGACGAGATAGTGAGGAATTGTCCCACAGCTCTTAGATAGTGCCAGAAATCGTTAATGGGACTGGAAGCAGTTATGATCACACACATACACTCACACACACGAGTCTATTTAAACTCAATGACTGTTGAAATATTTTGAGTGTTTACCTTCATAATGCTTTCCAAACACACATTTTTTGACAAAAATTTAGTAATAGTTAATGTTGCCTATTTACATGTGCTCTAGTAAAACTTAGAACATTTAATCTTCTATTTCAAACTATATATTTTTATAAGAAATTAATTCTTCACAGGTGAGTGTGTATTATGTTCCTTGTGTCAAACCCTTGCTTCCTGAGCCACCAAAAACAAATGACATAAGTGATTACTAAGAATCATTCTTAGGGAATCCTACTTCAATCAAGAAGAAGAGTCTTGTTGCATGCAGCTGAAATAATCCAGATTTCCCCTTCCTTCAGCAATGCTAAATTTATGTTCATAACTCCATAGTATAAAATATTCATATATACAAATGCCTTTCTTGCAAGTCAAAAGATTTTTAAGAGTGTCAAAAATTTTAGGAAGCATTCATTTAATGGGGTTTTATTAAACATCCTTTAAAATTTTAATGAGGTAAATAATGATAATACACATCACATGTTTACTTCTTTTTTTTCTAACCACTTTCTTCCTAGGTGTGTTAAAATTCAGTCTTCCAATCACACATTTATTGGTTAAATTAAGGACTTGTGTTTAATGCAAATAAAACCCCGTTTATCCAAAATGCAAACTAATTCCAGTTTGAAACACCTCTGCAAATCTTCACAAATTGGTGTTACCTCTGTGTTTTGCTCTAGTGCCTTTTACAGATGACAATCCCTGGGAATTCACTTTTGCAGAGAGACAATGGTGCGTTGTGGAAAATGAGAGCTGCCACAGATAAAATCTGGCACAGCCCACAAACAGAATGGGATAATATGTTATTTAGATAACACCATTTAACCAGGGAAAAAACCAAACCAACTCCACCACGACAAAACCAATAAATGAAGCAGCATATAAAACATTTTAAAATGAGGCAGAAGTCCTCTTCTCCTTTCTTTACTAATTGTTATTGAAGTGTTGCGTTATAATAACCATCTTTAGTAACAGTTCCTAACATACTCATAGATGAAGAATGTAACTCATGGACTGAATGCTTCTAATATCTCTGTTTATTCTTAATAGTGTTTGAAACACAAGACAAGCCATTATATAATTATACTTTTCAGTGTTTAAAGGGCCATCATGATTTGTTGTTTGGTGAAAAAAGGAGCACCTTCCCCTGCAACTCACAGATTTTGTATTTTTGGTTTTGACTTCAGTTTACCTTTACCCAGCTGTGCTCTCTAAATTCTACCTTCTTAATATTCTTCCAGACTACTTCTTCTCCTGAATAAACTTTATTATTGTTTACGCACTTTGGTGATGTGATCGTCTGGACCATCTCCTAGTTTTGAACTTCATTCCATCATCAATCACCTTTTAGAAAATGAATTATGTTCTTATTGCAGGAAATGACTTAGATACGTACGAACAGCAGCTGCTGGAACTTCAGCAAAGACTGTTGTATGCTGACATGGAAAACAAAAAAAGATCACATGAACTGAGCAGTGCCCTACATGAAATCAAAAATATAGCTGCAAGAGGAATGAACATGACAGAAAATCTCACAGGTGTGTAGGGGTTTGCTTTGGTTTTTGTTTTGTTGGGGTTTTTTTAGGACACCGACATGTAAAGTTCAGTGATCTGGCTTCTACCCATTGTTTAATAGAACTTTTAGTTACCTTGCCTTACAGGCTGTTGTGCACCTCTGTCTATCTGCGCACTGGAGTTACATGCAATAGATGGACAGTCTGATTTTGTACCTAAAATAAATCATGTAGTTGTGCACAATCTATGTTTTCCTCCTGTTGGGACTGGCAGAGCCTCGCTGAATAATTTTCCTTTTATTTTTACTTACCCTTCTGCTTCCCATTCCGGCCGTGTTTTCTTATACAAGCAAAATGGAAAGGTTGATTGCAGTCAATGGAACTGAACTCCCCTGCCCAATATTTGATAGGTACTACTTCCAAACAAAGAAGGAAAGCCCTTGAAAAGTTGTGGAGGTGGTTTCTGTGCAGCAAAATTCCAGTTTATTTAATGTCTCAACAGTGTAGAAGGACTTGTGGGTCTCTTTCACACACAGATCTCTGGGCAGATATATATGGTTGCTTCAGGGGGTTTTAAAGTATTTTCTGTAAGGTAGGAAATCTCTTTTTGGACCTAATTTTCTGTGGGAATACCTTTTGGAAGTTGTAAAACTTAAAATACTGCCCATTCAGTAAGCCTCTGCCCTTCTCGATCTAAGCTGAGTGAGTAAAGCTGATGGTGGGTTTTGTGACCCATGTATGTAACTGTGAAGGGTGGTAAATTTTGGGAGTTATTTTAGATGCATTCCTTGGGAAAAGTAACTTTCCATCCCAGTCAATAAATGTTCTTTTGCCTTTATTTTAAAGTAGTAAAGAAAAGTAAAATCCCTGCATTTCTCCTAACTGCTACAGCCTTTTGTTTCTTGAATAGTTTTTAAAGGCCTGTATGTTGTCATTATTTTTACCATAGGACTTTTTGTAAATAGAGAACCTTTGCTTCTGCTGTGAAAACCACCGTGTCTTACTGTTTGGGGAAAGCATTTAAGTTTATTAAGTAGTTAAGAAGGTTATTAATCTGTGTTTCTTTTCACTTTAAAATTGTTTGCCTAGCATGTAAAAAAAAAAAAAAATCCCCACACCAAGCAGTTTTTTACTGCTGCCTTTGCAATAACTACCTGATGTGTTTTAGGATGGCTCAGTCCTGCAAGTGTGCAGGGAAATACAGATGGTACCCCAGGATGTTCAAGCTTAATGTGAAGCTCTGGGAAATTCTCAATTCAATATAATGTAATATATATAACATGTAATCATTTCTGAGGAATAGTTCTGATTGAATAACCTTGTGTGTGGTGATCTGCCAGTGTTCAGCTGAGCAAAACAGGTGAAGAAATAGAATTCTCTGCTTGCTTTTGGTTCTATGTGGGTCTCTGTGTTTGCTGTGTCTTTAAGGTGAATTAAAGTGGAAAGAGTATACCCTGCCCAGAAAACTCCCCGTGCACCTTACAAATATCTACTACTATCTCCCTCACCTGCGAGAATATGAAGATGCAATTTTCCCAAATGTTATCTTTGGGCAGCAGAGAACTGGAGGTAGGAAATCAACTTTGGCTTCTATTTGCTATACGTTTGTATTTTTTATCAATTTCTAGCAGTGAAACATAATCAAGAGTATGAATAGATTTTCTCCCGTAACTTTCTAATGTTGCCAAGCTGAATGAATTTTAATAGCAATAGCAAAAATACTTTTAAAATGCCCACCCCTATTCCAGATCTTTATCTTAAAGACCTGGAATAAAAACAATTATAAAATAATTATTATAAAATATAATAACAACAATAACAATTTTTTAATATATATATATATATATAAATTGAAAAAAAGATTATTTTTTGTTTTAATCATATAGTCATATGGCTAAGATGCAGTAGCTGACATTTTCCCCCCACAAAATGAGTATCGATGAGGAAGCCAAGGCAAATTTGCCATGCAATGTGAGAAGCAAAGGGAAAGGTGATGTGATCATTTAAAGGATTATTAATATATCTTCAATGGAGCTTTTTTTATCCACATGAGAAATCAGCTGGCACCTGCAGAAATCATAATGAATTCCAGTGAACTATAATACAAATTTTAAATGCATTGTCCTCACTGTCATGTAACAGCAAATGCTGTAATGGTATTTCCTTAAATATTAACTGTCACCACTTTCATGGGCACATCAAATCAAAATTAAAATGTGATTTCAGTTTCCCTTTACTGACATGGCTTGAGGCATTATCTCTTTGCAGTCTCCCTGGTGATGGGTATTCCTACAGTGAAAAGGGAAAAACAAAATTACCTGATTGATACTCTGCATTCCTTGCTGTACCAACTCTCTGAGGAGCAGAAGAGGGACTGTGTAATAATCATCTTTGTAGCAGAGGTGAGTGTGCATGGAAAGGTGCAGCATGCTGATAGAAAATGTTATTTATGTCTAAATGTAATAGTGCAAAGTGCTGTTAGCCTTTGTTATTTATCTGCTGGTTTGATAACACGTATCTTGCAAAGCATCTTGACATATTGGAGCTTTCTGTGTGTGCTTTGGCATTGCCCATGCAAAAGAAAACTGTTCAGAGCCTTGAACATGTTTGGGAAAGTAAACAGTGCTCAAGGTAAGATATGAAGGATAAATGCTTTTTTTTCTCACTCAAAACCACCTTGATTACATCAGAAATAGAAAAAGCTGCAGAAAGGAATTAGCTAGTAATAGCTTCTAGCAGGTAAAATGACTGTGCATTTATTCAGAATTCATATTTATTCTTCATATGTCTTTGTCCTTCCATAGACAGCAATGAATTAATGCCTGTAGTCATTAACAGTTACAGTTTGCTATTTTTTTATTATTTAGCCATCCCTTTTGCAGGTGTAAAAGTGTCAAACAGAGTATAGTTCCCTTTAATTTTAGCCATGCCTTCCAGTTTTCTGTTTGGATCCCAATGATGAGTACAGAGGACCAATTTTATTGTAGTTCCTCTTCAGCATTTTTTCTGGGAGCTGATCTCACTTTGCAGTTGGTATTTTGCAATACCCTGGCAGTGATGAACTTTGCCTGGCTGCCATTGAGGTAAACTTTTTATTACAGGGCTTTATACTGAGGATCCTGTGAGCTTTTAAGGGCTGACTTTTGAATAGTTTCCCTCTGTGCAGAGTCCTAATGTGACACTTCAAACAAACAGGAGCTGTGGGTGTAGTTATGGTCCATATCAGCCAATTTAGGGTTAAACTGCCATTGTAGGACCCGCTGTCCCTTTCCTCCCAACCCAAAGTCCTGTTCTCACAGCTTCCATCTTTCAGCCATGCAGTAAATTGGAGCAGATAACCACGCTGATCTGAGAGCTGATAAGAACATTTTATTGTGAGAGGAGGGCACGTGTGCTCACTGGTCATGAATCCACACCTTCCTTCTTCCCACAAAGTTTTAAAAGATCAAGGTGAAGGTTTGCATCATGGGTTAAGCTTGAGTAACTTATTGACTGAGAGTGAGTTTTAAGTTCTGGATGATGTTTTTTCTTACCACAGTTCTGTATTTCCCTTTTTTTTCTTACCACAAGTTTAACATATAATTGGTAACAATTATATATTAAAGAATTTATTTATTTAAAGAAAAAATCTGAACTCCTAAGACAGTTATTGTGTTGCTTTAGAAATAAAACTTTTCACTCTAAATGTAGTTAACAGATATGTTTGGCACACTAACATTGGTGCTTTTATGAAACAGCAGTGATGAATGTCCTCAAAATTTCCAAACATAAAGCTGTAAGTTTGTTGTATTAGGAAGAAATTAAATAAAAATTTTAAGTATTGCTGGCTTTAGAATATTTTGCTTAGGTGATTTTTCTCATCAGCCTTAGGCCTCTTTTGTAATTTTTGGATTATTAACCCAAACCAGGTTTTTTTTACTGATAGTTTTATGGCTGTGCTTTACTGGCATGGCAGAACAGAATGTTAGCCAGAAAACAGCCTGGTCTTCTGCAAAAGCAGTGAAAGACAGTGCCAGAAATGGCAGCTGGAGATAGCTGGAAACAAAAGGGAACTATAGTGAAAGTTTGGTTGGCTTGAAAAGCCCATACTGCTCCTTACTAGAAATGCTGCTGTAACATACCACATTTGTTTGGAAGGAAAAAAAAAAAGTTGTGTTTGCATATGTCTATTCCCTACAAAGTGTTGTTTAATACAAAACTGAGTGACTTTTAATGAAACCCTCCCTTCTTTTCTTTAGGTGGATGCAGAGTATGTTAAGAGTGTTGCAGAAAGTGTTAAAACCAGGTAAGTCCTACACTCAGCCACCAGTGTGGATGTATTTGGAGCTTTTATGGAAAGAACTAGAAAATTTCAACATTGAAATGCACCTGAGGCAAAGGTTTCCTTTTTTTCTTTACTATTTTTCAGGAAGGCAATGCACTTGGGACAGCAGTGGGGTTACATTTATAATTTATAATAATTGCTACTACATGGTGGCCAACATGAGATGGGTGGTTTTTGCCCTGCCAGGTTAACCCTAGAGATGCCAAATGGAAGCTTGGTTCCCACTGCAGTTCTGCTTGCTCTTATTTTCCCTGAACAAGATCCCTGGAAGATCCCTTGTCTTCCTCATTTCAGGGTTTCTGCACATCCTGCTTCACTCAATACCTACAGCAACTCAAACCCTCAGATCATTTTGATTACTGCTTTATGGCCTTTGAAAAAATTGCACAGAGTGTTTGCTTTGTCAGGGTTATACAGTCAGATTGATATTTTTTCTATAATGCTGGTACTCTGATGTGTTTAATTTTTAGTGTTATCTTTTGTTTACTAATCATAGGAAATGGGGAAACTCCGTTTTAAAACCACTGCTCTACCTGTTTTGTGTTGGGGTTTTAACATGATGCAGTTAATGCACCTGAGGCCTGATTGTTTGTTTTTGTTGGGTTGTTTGTTGGGCTGGTGGTTTTTGTTTAGACTTTTTGATTAGTTGCTGTGTGGTTTTTTGGAGGAAAGGGGAAATTTGACTTCCAGGTTTGGCTCCCAAAGGAGGTTACAGGGCAGCTGCTGTCTGTGGTTGCCCCCACAAGGGTTTTTGAGGAGCAGGGTCTCACTGGGGTTCTCTGCCCAGCTTCCCCAGAGAAGTCCAGTCTGGAGTCCTGGAGGTTGTTTCTCCTCCTGCTTCCTATTACCCAGACCTTTCCAACCTGCAGAAAACGTTTGGAGATTCTGAGGACCGAGTAAGGTAAGAGTAAAGCCTTAGAACTTTGCTAAGAGTGTAAAATGGAAAATTCAGAAAAAGTCAGCATTGTTTGAGCTGATAATGTCAGAGCTGAAGGACCTCATTTGTACAGGTAAAAAGAATTTACAAGGGGGTCTTGGGAAATGCTATTCGGCACATCAGCTTCAGGGTGAGAGCCAAGGCAGCTCCTTTAGGTGTGGGCTCTGGGCATCCAAGAGGTTTTAAACCTGATGGATGATGCCAACAAGTAATGGGCTATATGAGCTGTCATAAGGGAAAAAATAGAAAAATCTTTAATGTCACTGATGAGGGGGAGTCTCTGTGAACACACAGCCCATGTGGCCCTCTAGCTAATCACCGACAGCTCCTGGGGGTTTAATTAATGATCTAAATTATGGTGGTCATTGGGCTTTTATCTACTCTTACTACACCCTTCATGGTGATTTCATTCACTCCCGTGCCCCAAATTCAGTAAGACAGATTATAACCTTAAAAATATATATATTTATTGGAGGAAATTTATTTTCTTCATCAGCAATAACTAATTTATCAGAAGCCACTGCAACAACGCACCAAGAGAGTTACAGTACTAAGAGTTTAGGCTGGAGGAAATCAGCTAATATATTTACATATATGTCTGTATGTATATTGGCTTTATAGATATGTGTTCATACCACAGACCATAAGCAAGTTTACATATTTATAATTTAATTTTAGATATTATTTGATTTGGATCAGCTATACTTTTATGTTAATTAACCACCAATAAATTGCTCTGTAGTCTTTCAGTGTTGATTATGAAACATCATTATCGTCCTCTGGTAAAATGAGAGACTGTACAAAATATGTGTTTATATTTAGACCTGAAAATCATGGTTATCAACATGTTCTTGTGCTGTTCATATGTAAAACCATTTACTTTTTCATCTATAAATAATCCATGTGTCTTTATTTCTACTCTTCATAAAATAACAAGTAGAATATTATAAGTCATTTGATATTAGTAACTCGTTAGAGATTTCGTTTCAAGCTCCATTGACAGAGATCAATTTTTTTTTTGTTTATTTAATGTTAACTTTTACAGGAAAATAAAATTATTTACGAATGTTTACACTGATCGTAGGTGAATGCTTTTGCACTCAACAATGGGTTGGAATATACAACCTTAAGATTTTATTGTAGAGACAAAAAATGCAGAGCATTAGAGGTTCTCTTATTATAGAAATAATAAAAAAGCTCAGAAAGCTTATCAGAATTTGCTGCTTATGTTTAGGTGGAGAACTAAACAGAATTTGGACTATAGCTTTTTAATGCTGTATGCTCAGCCTAAGGGAACATTTTATTTACAGGTACGTCCATATTATCATTAAGTATCAGCAATAGCTCTGTACTGATGCTTAGTTTTGGCAATTTTCATTTCAAAGGCCTCAATAAAACCAGCAATCTTATGTCATTTTCTGTGTATTTTGCCTCTGCTCCTTATAAGCATCCACATATTTCTGTATTTATCTACATCTTGCAGCCAGGTACTGTTTGATTAAAGCCATCTCTCCCTTCCTGCCATTTGTGAGGCTGAAGAGCAAGGTAACTGAAGCATGAAACCCTCATTTGATTAGGTTGAGAAAGTCAGACTTTAGTATCTTTTTACTTACTGCAGCCAGGAGAAAGAGTAGTGACAGGTTCAGGTTATAACCCAGATGGCAGTGAAATATTTCAGACAGGGACATACCAGTACAGTGATACTTGAGATAAGGTCAGCTACAACTTGGCACAGATCCTTAATTCTCCAGAAAATTTTGCGTCAGCCTTTAGGAGGATCCCCATGCATTTAATCTCAGCTTTAACTATCATTCAGGATTTGTGCTAATTTGCACTCCATAAAGACCTTAATCACCACCACAGATTCCAACATTTGTAAGAGCTGCTCAGTTATGGAACAGGTCTATAAAATTTCACCTATCTCAGTAATTTTTAAAAAGCTCAGAAGAGCATTTTGCCTCAGAGTTGGTGTTCCATAAGGACATCACAGTTTCCTGGAAGCAGGAGTGTGCAGGACCTGGCATCTCCTACAGTTTTTTTCAGGATTCAGCAAAATCCCATTTGAGCTGGGCTACTTGAGAGTCCCCAAGCTCTGTTCTCAAACGTGGCATAGGTGCTCAGGATGCAGGTGGGCAAACAAAAATGCTGTGTTTTGAACAGTTATGGTTTCATGGAAAATGAAGTATTCTCCTGTGGCTTGTGTATATTTTTAAGAACATTTTCCAAGTTTACTGAGTGCACTGGAGCATCAAGGTGTTGGAAACCCAGTCAAGTGAAATATTAAGATGCTGTCGGACACTTGATGTTACCAAGTTCTCCAAGGACTCCTATTTGCACCACAATGACTTACTTTTGTATTTGTATTTCTAAAGGAATAGAGAGCATGTGTTTTCTTATCTGAGACATTATATAACAACTGAGCTGTGTTATTAAGGACAAAGCCTGGATGGTGGTAGTCTGCTGGGAGCTACATTTGCTTTTGAAATTTTCTCAAAAAGGAACTACACTTTCCTCATCCCATTCCTCATACTGTTCCTACTCTATCCCATTCTTCATTTCTGTGTCCAGCCTTCAGCTGCTCCTGTAGCACAGATGCTGGGCTGCCCCAAAGCTGCTCTTTAAAGTGCAGGTGAGAAGCACAAACTCAGTTATGTCCTCCACTGTTTAGAAGTCCTGTGTTAAAGGAAAGCAAACAACTTAAAACTGCTTTTCTTTAGACTGGTACAATATTTACCTCAGCAATCTTAAGCAGAACTTGAGCTACGTTAGATTTTTGTTTGGTTTAGTCAGGAATGGCATTGACTGAGTGGCTGACACCAACTCCCAAACCCTGAGAGAAGATAAGCACACAGAGTTAGTCCTGACGTGTACAGCACAGCTGATGTCATGGGCCAGACAAGATCTTTGCTGAACAAACACTTGTTCTAGGATCCTGCAGAATCAGGATTCAAGTCTTTTTGTGAAGTCCATTGAAGCTAACAGGATTACTGTGGGCATGAACCCAACCCACTGATTACCTACTGATCAACTTGTCTCCTTAAAGCTTTTTTGCCCCACCTCAATAGAACTTTGAGGTCCTTGTTTCCACTTCCACTGAACCTCCCTGCAAGCACCAGGGACCCTTGAAGCGCTTACAATCATGGGATCAGCCATAAAAGCAGGCAATCCAACCCCAGCCTCATAGTGAGGGCATGCACTTGTTATTTCTTGTCCATGTAGTTCACTGCAGAAATCAAACATTTCAAATCTGAAAGGAACACACATACAACAGTTTTTAAGTGTTTTCTATTAGCACTGAGATGAAACAAAAACTAACCATTAAATAAATCTTGGCTTCTTCAGATAAAATCTCTTATCAAGTTCTAACTTAACTTGTAGTAGTTTCCTGAACTACTGCTATGATTTTTATTGCCTCATGTGGAACCTGGGAAAGCTTTGTGCATATATATATATATATATAATTTGTAATATTCATTCCCAGCAGCATTTCTGTAATGGATTTAAAGCCTGAGCAATATCTCAGTGAGTTCACTTTGGATGGAATTTATTCTTCCCCTCACTAGACTCTAGGTTGTGCTTGTTATTTGGTGGAGCTCCCACAGTTTTCACAATTCATTGTCGGTGAGACAAAATGTCAGTGTCAAAACAGATCTCTTAATTTCAATTTTCTAACTCCATTCTGCTTATTCCTGGGTTCACTGCTGCCAACACATTTCTTGTCAGCCAGCCCCACACTTGAAGTGATGCAGAAATTCAGCTAAAACCTCTGGGCCTGATCTCTCAAGCTCTTGATGATGACCCTGCTGCCTCAGTTGAAGACCCAAAAGCAGCAGGAAATCATGTTTTGTTTGGCTGGGGCTTTTTCCCCAAAGGATTAATTTTCTAGTTGTTCAACCTTCTGAAGCCAGCTCCAGCACGTACAGCAGTTAGAATAAATTACTGTATGATTACACTACACCCCAGCAATATTTTCCTGAATATTTGCCTCCTCTTCCTGTGTTTTCACACCCATCCTGAATTCAAACCATGAATTACTCACTCCTTAATTATTTCTGGAATACATTTATTTCCTTTGTGTCGCTGCCTCCAAGCTCTTTGTCTGGATTCACAGTCCTCAGGAACAGCTCCTGGCCTTTCAGATGCCCAGTTCTTGTCTGGAGGCCAGGCAGCAATGAAGCCTTTCCCATTTCCTGGATGGATGTCGGTCTCCTCTTCCAATACCCATCAGCTCCAGGACATGTGGTACAGCAATTAAACACAGCACGGTTTTCATTTTCTTGTGGCAGTGTCACCACCCCCTCTGCAAACAATACAATCATTGCTTGCCTTCTGTTTTTCTGTTGCATTCCCCCCTCCTTCCAGCTGGAAGATGATATTATAGCCAAGCCTGATTTTGTTGAGAGCATAAAAAGCTTTGCTGCTCAGCAGTCCCAAGATTGGATGGTTCTTGAGTTCTCACAGCTTGGATTTATTGGTAAGTATTAAGACCTCAGCAGGATCAGCTGCGTTTGGAGCTGTGTAGGTGAAAAAGTCAGAATCACATCTCAAAGCATGGAAGAACCTGCATATCAAAACTTCCTTGGTTCTTCAGGAAACAGCCTTCTGAATGTAGTTTGATTTTTGTTCTCTTTAAAACTGTCTTGTTAACACAGAGTCTCTTCAGCACAGGATCTATAACTGAGTTCCCATAAGGAGGAAATTGTTCCACCTCAGGGAACTGTGTGCCCCTGTAATGTGTAGTTCTCTTTTCAAGAAGGGAATTTGAACAATCTATAAAAAAAATCCCAAAACTTGCTTTTCTTTGTGGAGGAGAATATGCATCCCATATCAAAGGCCTGGATGATCAGAACACTTCAAAGCCAGATTCTATGTGAAGTTTCTCATGAAATATCATAATTACATTAATGTGTGCAAGGCTGGTGTGATACTTAAATGTTTATTTAAATAAATTCCATTTAAACACAAAACTGCATAGCAATAAAAAGATAACTTCTTGCATAGCAATAAAAAGATAACTTCTTGTCTTGCTTTCAGGAAAATTGTTTAAATCAGAAGACTTACCACATATAGTGGAGTTTTTTCTCATGTTCTATAAGGATAAGCCTGTAGACTGGCTCATAGACCACCTGCTCTGGGTTAAAGTGTGCAATCCAGAGAAGGATGCAGTAAGTATGCAGTATTTAAGGGCTTTCTCTAACTACGTGATAAAAGATCCATAATTTAGAGTACGTTAAAGCCTGCCAAACACAACAGAAAGAGGCAAAATTATGAATATTGAAATGTAACCAAAATCCTTCTTAAGAAAGTCAGTTTTGGTCAAAATAGTTTAATTAGAATGATGTGGCAAGACGAAAAGTTGAAATAAAATTTGCCAGAAACAGCTAAGAAATCAGTCAGTTTCAGATTTGAGTCAATTTTTGTCACCCTGAGAGTGATTCATCACATACTTTGCAGAAATCCATGAATTACTGGTGATTGAGCCTTCAAATCTAAATAACAGCATGAGTGGAATGATGAGTTTTGGTCTAGAGACAGTGTATGTGACAGGAGGTGATTGTTAATTCAAGGATAACCCATGTAAATATGGATAAAATATCTGAACCCATACCCTTAACTACATAATGAAATTGCCTTATGGAACGTAGCTTGTCTCTCCTTGGTTAAATAACCCTTCACTCCCTTTTACTTTGTTTCTAGACACACTGTGAGAAGGAAAAGTCAAAGTTGCGTGTCCGTGCTAAGCCATCTCTCTTTCAGCACGTGGGAACCTTTTCATCCTTGGCTGGGAAGATACAGAATTTGAAAGTAAGAACAAGAAATCAATGCCATATTTTTACATGATGTGCTTGTGTTTTGACTTATTTCTCAAATCAAGGACCGCATCTTTGGCATTATGTGGCGTTTCAATATCCAATTATGTTCTACAGGCTTTGTAGGGAATTTTGATGTGGCATCTAAGCTGCAGGCTATGAAATGGCCTCCTGTGAAAATTTTTATTTTTAAATCTCGGCAGCTAAGAAACAATCAGTACAGCTCTGTCTACAGATTGTAACATTGAGTCCAGTGATTACAGTGAAATCAATATTCTATATGTATTAAAAATAGGTGGTGTGTTTTTTGACACTGAGGTGGTTATTTTCTGGAATAGTTTCCTGTACTAATTACAGACACCAATGCACTTTTTTTTCCATTGTATGAGTGAAATTACATTTCTTTATATCAACAGGATAAAGATTTTGGAAAAATGTTGCTACATAAAGCACATAATAATCCACCTGCAAAAGTGGACACAAGCCTAAAAATATACGAGCAATATACCCTGGAAAAAGTTTACAAAGGACAAGACTGTTTTTGGGCCTTAGCTCCAGTGGCAGGTGACTACATCAGGTTCACATTTTTAAATCCACTAGAAGTTGAAAAGTAAGTATTACATGATATGGAACATGGAAGCCTTCATATATCCAGTTTGGAAATGCTTGGGTCTGTTTGGAGTTGTCGGTGCTCAACTGTTTATGCAAACAGTTGTTACTAAAAAAAATCCATTATTTACTATTTATCTGCTCTTCTTGAGCAGATCCCCTCCTGAAATACATGTCTTCATTGGTAGTTAGAGAGCTTCTGAATATTTTTTCCTTTTATGTCTTCAGGTAAATACTATTATTTATTTCTTCAGGTATATATTTTACATGATAATTCTCAAAGGAATTTGTTTTCAACTGATGAATTTCATCAATGGTGAATATTTGATATCAGAGGAGAGAGTTTGATGATTTAACTTCTCCGTGTTCTTTTTGAATCTAAAACCCTAAGAACTCTTAATGCCAGAAATTTAAAACAAAATGGGGATTTTTATTTATTCTTAGATGGTTTTGCTTGGATTGTTGTTTGGTCAATGCTCTTGCTTACTGGCTATGAAGGAAATTCTTTAGAAGCACCTGAATTGACCAGTATTGATAAAAAAGGGGAATTCTCCTGGCATGTAGTATATGGCCAGGTAGAAACAGAAATTTTTGCTGCCACACCTTCCAGAAGCCCATTCATTCCACTTCAGTGTTAGAATCACAGGAACAGATCAGAGGGCAGACCTTCCTTAGCCATTTAAACATGGAAAGTTAATTTATTTGGAACTTGAGCACTAAAAGTGGAGAACACTTTCCTTTGTGGTCCCAGAGAAAGATGGTTTAAATAGTTGTTCTGTTTAAAATAAAAATCCTATATTATGGTTTGGTTTATAGTTTCAAGGGCTATTTCTGTTCTCTGTAGCCCAAAATATATAAAGAGAAGGTATCTGAAACTTTCCTTCAAAGAATTACTCCCCTAGAACTCTTCTAAAGTATAAAATACCTGGAAATAATACACCTCTATCATCAGGTACTTGTTCAGAAGTGGGAACGTGGAGCACCCTGGTGATAAACTGTTTAACACCACTGTGGAAGTGCTGCCAGCTGATGTAAGTCTCTCATTAAGAACCATATTGCATTTTCAGAATGATATTCAGCATAAAATGTCACAACCCAGAAAATACTTCTTGAAATGTTATTGTTTTATTTTTTACAGAAAACGCTAAGAAAAGAATTGATTCACAATGGAAGTAAATTTAACTACCCAGCAACAAAAGACGGATATTTAAAAATAGGTAAATTATTTCTTATTACTTCAAAACCAGTAATTTTGTTCCTACATGTAAAATGTTTCTGCTCTTAAGGATTTCATTAACTCTTTGGTAAATTCAACATTCGGAAGGGAAGGGAAGGGAAGGGGCCTTTGCATTACTGTTCGTTGTAGTGTATGGTGTCTGATCAATGACTCTCTATTTTGATTTAAATATCACTAGTGGCAAAAGCCAAGACATCTAATTAGAAGGAGAACTAATTGCAGTGCCTGTAAAGAGTGCATTTTTTTCAGGGGCTTTTGAAAATGGCACAGCAGAAGGCAGCATCAGCCAGGCAATAGGAAGAATAGAGGCCATTCGTTTATCAGTCAGCTCTGACTCTCCAGTCTGGGCAATACTCAGTGAGGTAAGCACGGTAATAAAAGCATTTCTATTTCTCATTATTAAATTAATTCTGCTTCTTCCAATTGTATACTATGGGTAATCATTCATATTTCATTTTGAGTGGAATTTTGTGTGGAAAAACACAAGTGAAGAATTGTGTTAATTATTTTAAGGAGAGAAATTAAATATACTTCATTGAAAGTGCTGGAAATGCTCATGCAGGATGATTCTCCAGTTTTGCAGTGCTGTAACTGTACTTGCTAGGACTTGGGTTTTGACAAACAAAGCTCTTTTCAGTCACCATCTTCAACATTAATTACATTATGTCAGCATTTTCAGATGAGCCTCTCATTTTTAATTCTACCAAGTTTTTCCCCAAGTGTTTAAATGTCAGTAAGTCATAAATAGAAATTCTTAGCAGAAGTCACTGAAGAGAATTACTGCAGCCTTAAACTGGAAGAAGGGAAAAAACTAATGTTGTAGGCAAAGCTCCTGCAGATTTTAGAAAATAATAGATATTGTTTTTTTCCAGGTACTTATCAAGACATCTGAAAACTGAAAAAAATACATTTTTGATGTGTCACTTGTTATGTATTTCTGGTAAACAAGGCTGACTTCAACAAAACAAAACAAAAAGACTGGGACAAAAGATCTAATTCCATGCCCATTTAGTTATTAATGCTCTGTATTAGGAAAGAGTTGGGATAAATCTTAGGTCTTTATATGACAAGGTATATGAAAAGAATGTTAGTAATTTCGATAACATGTTCTTGAGAAATATGTCATATATAAACATTAAAAAGATATTATTGCAAGCAATTGATAAGGCATTACAGCCTGCCTCAGGGACCAAAGCATAAAGGTGTAAGGAGTTTCACCAGAAATAAAAACACAGGCATATAATATGAATATTTTTTTGAAAAATATTCAGGACACGGTGTTCAACTCCATTGAAAACACTGGTCAGTTTTGTAGGGAAATTAGAACTGAAGGAAAAGTTGTCAATATTCATTGCAGGTATTTAAAGTAGTTCACAGGAACAACTTAAAGTTATGGAAATTGATCTCGAACTAAATATAAATGTGTTTCAGCCTTAATGTGCCATAAGTTATGTTAAATATTTTTTTCAATAAAAATTACCTACAAATTACCATGTGAATAACTTGAAACTTAAACAAGTATTTTTTGGAAGACTGTATAACTTCTCAGTGAATTCTGCATTGAATTAATTACAGGAAATAAGGGTATTATGTGTAACTATATTTTTGTAAAAAGAAAATCTATTTAAATAAAATTTTGGATCCTGAAATTAGATAATCAGCGTGTACTGACATTTCAATTCTTGTCACAAGTTCAAATTCAACATAAATTTGAAAATAAAGGGTAAACCACAGCAGTCTCATTTGAAAAGATTTTGGGAAATGACAATCTACCTTGGACATCTAATGGTCAGAATTCCTTAGCACATAGAGCACAGCTGCACCCTCATTCCCCTGCACAGGCATTGCATCCTGACAGCAGGAAATAAATGTAGAATATACTAAAATAATAGATTTTCACAGTAAATTGAGATTTCTCTCTAGTTGTTGAAGGGTATTTTCAAGCTCAAAAGCTTATCAGAATACTTGAAATTGTATTAGGAAATGACTGGACTTTAAAAAATTAAATGAAATTTTCCATTCTGTGCTGCCAGCTTGGTGCTTCATTCCTCGTTTCTGTTTTTACACATTTTACACAACTGTAAATCAGAGAATACCCCTCTCATCACTCTGATGTAAATGAGGTTTTACCTGATGCTGTAAATAATTAAAGCTTCACAAGAACCATTCATTCTCACAAGAGCAGAGGTTTCTTGCGCAGTCTGCAGAACCCCAGCTCCACAGTAAAACCAAAGGAACCTCCTAAGGGGAATTCTGGATTTTCACTGAAGAGGCAATAGAGGAAATGCAAATATTCCAGCACCAGGAAGTTTACCACAAGGGAGAGCAGTGGAAGAATGTGAAAAATGCACGTATTTTATGATTGGCCTTTTGCATATATTAAAATTAATGTTATATGTGTTGTGTTAGAAAGTAACGCTGTATTAATTCTCTTAAGTACTGTGTTAAATATAGTTTAGGTTACAAAAATTGTTAAAATAGAAACGATGCTGTGTAGGATACTTTTTTTAAAGAAAGGACTAGCAGCAACAGGACACGTGAATCTTTCAGAGAAAAGGAATTTATTGCCCTCTTATCAGAAGAAACGAACTTCTTCCCGCCTTGGAGGCGCTGTTAGGATTAGAAGGAAGAAGTTGACAATGACCAGACAGAATCCTGTGTTTGAATGGAATTTATGCATCATGTATGAAGTGTATGAATATGCAACAGGCTGTTGTTCTTAAGGGTTAATCCTGTGTTAACGGGGGTCCTTTTTCGGGCTCGTGCTGCCCAGAAAAAGGTACCCGGACATCCATAACTCTTTGTTGTTGTTGTCTCATATTGTCCTAATTCAAATTGCCCAAATTATTATTATTCTAATTGTCAGCGGGCGATTGGCTGGGGCGCCCCTAGC